AACTATCACCCCTTACCAATGGGTACCAAGCTAAATGAAAACATTAAAGTGATAGATAAAAAATTTCAAACATGAATTATAAGCTAATTGAAACACAAGAGAAAGCCCAACACATAGAAACCACAAAGATGATGCAGGAAATTACTAAATGAATTAAAGCACTAAAGAAAAATCAAATAGGACTCCTGGAAATGAAAAATTCATTCAAGGGATTACAGAACACAGAGGAAAGCCTTAAGAACAGACTCAATCAGGCACAAGAAAGAAGCTCAGAACTTGATGATGATGCCTTTGTGCTAAACAAGTCAGTTCAAGGGAAAGAACAGAGAAACAGGAGGAACTAACAAAGCCTACAAAATATGTGCTACTATTTAAAGAGGCCAAACGTAAGAATCAGAGGGTTGGAGAACTTGGGGAAATTATTGAAGAAAATATTCCAGGCCTTGAAAAAAATAATTAATCATGACCAAATGGACTTCATTCCAGAGATGCAAGGATGGTTCCACATATGCAAACCTATAAATGTAACCCACAACATAAATAGACACAGATACAAGGACTATATGATCCTTTCAATAGACAAAGATAAAGCATTAGACAAAATTCAGCACCATTTTATGATAAGAACACTTAACAATATAGGCATAGATGGGACTTACCTCAAAATTGACTTCAAGGACTTGACCTCAAAAGGTCATATATGAAAAACCCACAGCCAACATCATATTGAATGGAAAGAAATTGTAAACATTTCTGCTTAGAATCAGAACCAGACAAAGTTGCCACTAGCTCTGCTGTTCAATATAGTGCTAGAAGTCCTAGCCAGAGAAATCAGGCAAGAGAAGAAAATCAAGGTTATTCAAATGGTCCAAGAATGCATTAATGAATACATGATCTATGCAGTTATGACTTAATAAACAAAAGAAAAAGAGCATATTCCCCTCCCCCCAAAAAAAGGAGAAATCAAATTATCACTCTTTGCATGAGTGATATCATGATCTTATATCTAGAAAACGTCAAAGTTTCAACCAAGGGACTCCTGGAATTGAGTAAAGTCTCAGGTCACAAAATCATTGTATACAATGAGTAGCTTTTATATATGCCAACAACAGTTAAGCTAATTGTTAGGGAAATGCCAATCAAAACTTTAATGAGATATCACCTAACTCCAATGAGAATGGCTCGTATTAGAAAGTCCCCAAACAATCGATGCAACATGAATTCAGAGAGAAAAGAACTCTTATACACTGTTGGTGGGACTATAAACTAGTGCAACCTCTATGGCAAATTGTATGGAGCTACCTCAAAGAACTTAAAGTAGCCCTACTATTTAATCCAGAAATCCCACTGCTGAGTATACCCAAAGGAAAATAGGTTATTTTATAAAAGGGACACCTGCACTTGAATGTTTATAGCAGCACATTTCAACCAGTTGAAAAGACATAGAAATAACCCAAGTGCCCACCAATACACTAATGGATTAATAGAATGTAGTGTATGCATACTATGGAGTGTAATTCAGCCATATAAAAATAGTGATCTAGCATCTTTTGGACAAGCTAGAGGGAACTGGAAACCATTCTTTTTTTTTTTTTTTTGAGACCAAGTCTCATTCTGTTGCTCTTGGTAGAGTGCTGTGATGTCATAGCTCACAGCAACTTCAAACTCTTGGGCTTAAGTCATTCTCTTACCTCAGCCTCCCAAGTAGCTGGGACTACAGGTGCCCACCACAATGCCTGGCTATTTTTTTGGTTGCAATTGTTGTTGATTAGCAGGCCTGGGCTGGGTTCATACCCAACAGCCTTGGTGTATGTGGCTGGTGCCATAACTACTGAGTCACAGGAACCGAGCCTGGAAACCATTCTTTTTTTTTTTTTCTTTTTTTTTGTAGACACAGTCTTTTTCTTTTTTTTAGAGACAGAGTCTCACTTTATCACCATTGGTAGAGTTCTGTGGCATCACACAGCTCACAGCAACCTCCAACTCCTGGGCTTAGGCGATTCTCTTCCCTCAGCCTCCCAAATAGCTGGGACTACAGGCACCCGCCACAATGCCTGGCTATTTTTTTGCTGCAGTTTGGCTGGGGTCGGGTTTGAGCCCACCACCCTCGGTATATGGGGCCGGTGCCCTACTCACTGAGCCATAGGCGCCGCCCAACCTGGAAAGCATTCTTTTAAGTGAAGCATCACAAGAGTGGGGAAGTAAACGTATGTACTCAATACCAAACTGGACTAATCAATCAACACTTAGATGCACATATGGAAGCAAATCTCAAAGCAAATCAAGCTGAGGTGAGAGGGAGGGCAGAACAGGGGAGGGGTAACTGGCACTTGTTGGGTACAGTGCACACTATCTGGAGGAAGGGTGTACTTACGTGTATAACTTTGACTCAATCTGTCTAAAAATAAAGTAGGTAACAATGTATGTAACATTTGGGAGTTTAAAAAAGTCAGGTATTTTGTTTTCTATGTTTATTGTGTATATATGTGTAAGAATAGGAACTTAAAGGAAACATATCAACAACATATCAACATCTCTAGAACTTAGTTCTAGAGAAGGAAGGTGGAGTCTAGAAGAGAAGGATAACTGGTATTATCTATATTCATTTTTCAAATAATAAATTAGGAGACAATACTAACATTAATTAATATGGGTTACAAAACCCAGGTTTCTTTCATTATTTTCTATTATGTCGTCATTATCTTTTAAATAGTAATCAAGTGACTAATATTTGGCTCTTCAGGGCCCCTGAATGTTTTCAATTCTGCCACTCACCACGTCCACAAATCTCAGGTCAGCTAGATGAGCAAAAATTAGCATTTTTTTTCTTTTCCGTTTCACTAATTTCCTGATCATGACCCCTTTAAGACAGGCTGATTTCTAATCTGATCATTTTATTGTTAACTTATACAACCTATGGTCAAATCAAAAGAGATCAAAAAGTCATTTTTTGTTATCATCTATATCAGTGGTTCTCAAGCTTCTCTAGCAACAAAAATAATTTTATGGTTGAGGGTCACCACAACATGAGGAACTGTATTAAAGGGTCACGGCATGAGGAAGGTTGAGAACCACTGATCTATATAGAATGAAAACATTTTTTAAAATAAATTAATGTAATAGCAAACCAAAGACCATTATATATTTGACATTTGGAATTCTACAAACCTTAGTTCAGAGACTGGGCATATAAATTTATAAAGAAAGAAGAAAAAGAAAAAAGAATCAGAAGAAACTTTATATCCCATTATCACTAGAGGTCAGTGCTTTTATTTTCATTTAGCAATTTCTCAGTGAGTTGTGAGTCAGAGACACAGATGCTTGGGGTTATTGTTTACCACAACAAATGCTCAGTTTGTATTTGAACCTTGTCTATTGGGTAGAGTTTACACAAGTTTCAGCCTTTTATTATTTGACAGAAATGCATTATCACAAAACTTGAAGCTAATATGTGTATCAGTGACTGATAGGTGGACAATATGGGAAATGAATTCTATTTAGCAGAGAAGTTATTTATTGTTGAGGGCTAGATCTCTGCTTTCCAGAGTTATACTGTTTATAGTCCAACCAACAAGGCACCAAAGGTCACCTTTACCCAAGTCTCTCCCAACACAGAAGTTCCACTCCTCAGGTCACCTCCAATATTTTTATTTCTGTAAATATAATGATAGAAATTAATTGCATGGTATAATATTTCTATGCCGGATAATGTGCTAAGAACTTTTCAGAAATAATGTAATTTAATCACCTCAACAACACTATTTTTAGTTCTATATTATAGGCAAGTTGACAAGCTTAGAGACATTCAGAGAATTACCTGCCATTGCATAGCTATTAATTGATAGAACTGGGATATAAACCCAGACAGTTGGGTTGCCAGAGTTCAAGCTCCCAACAGGCAAGATCTCCCTAGAGTTGTTTATAGCTCATATTTACTCGATTCCTAGTGAGGTTGCACATCTATTTATCAAGGAGACCATCTCCCAGATCCCTTGAAAGAGAGGTAATGTAACAGAGATCAAATGCACGGGAATGAACTTCACGCCTTCTGCACTGAAATCTAGTTTTACTACCTTCTAACCATAACCACAAACACATTGCTCTCTGAAATGAGCACCAACACATGACTATTATTAAGGTTGTGACAGAAAGTAAATGTGAGAGATAATGTATCCAATGTTTAGCTGAGTAACTGGTGCATTATATGAAAATTATATACATGTATTTGTTGTTGTTAGGAAGAATATGAAATTCAAAGGCTAAGAGGCTGGGTCAACCAAAACAAATTTTCTTTGTGCTGGAAAATCGAAATAGGACTTTTTTTTTTTTTTATTGAATGGTAACTATGTACATTAATGCACTTCTGGGGTACAGTGTGGGGTTTTTACATGCAATCCGAAATACTTCCATCAAACTGGTCAACACGGCCTTTGTGTCATTTTCTCAGTTATTGTTTTAAAACGTTCACATTCTACTCTTAGAAAGATTCACTTGTACCCCTGTAAGATAAACCTTAGAAGTGATCCCTTCAATCCTCCTCCCTCCACCCATTCCCCCCTCCCTTCTCCCAAGACTTTTTTTTAATATCCTACATTCCATATTTCTATTTTTTTATGCACAGTCTTGAAGAACCTTAATAATTCACCTAATTGCTACCAAATTGTATCAGTCTATCCTAGAATTAGACCAACAAGACCTGAAAGATTTGCTGACTCATTTTGTTTTTATGGATTTAATACTACATACCTTATGCTAGCCATTGTGTTGAGCAGAACTCTGAGACTGTGCAGTTGTGCTATCCTTAAATAGTCATCTGGACACTCCTTGATATATGTCACATCATAGTGACTGATTATTTCCATAGCTTGAAATGACACAATTGTCTGACAATATATCAGGACCTACTGCATAGTTCTGTTTAATCCCATAGAAAGTTTATGTGAGTACATTCAGATTTCTTTTTAGAGATCACAAAATGATATATTTTTCCTGTTCCTCAGGGCTCATCAACATACCTGCAGTGGCCCTTGGAATATTCTCTGGGGGGATAGTTATGAAAAAATTCAGAATCAGTGTGTGCGGAGCTGCGAAACTCTACTTGGGATCGTCTGTCTTTGGTTACCTCCTATTCCTTTCCCTGTTTGCGCTGGGCTGTGAAAATTCTGATGTGGCCGGGCTAACTGTCTCCTACCAAGGGTATGTTCCCCGTTCTTTCATTAAATAACCTGAGGTTGTTGGTTTGCTCAATCAAATTGATTATTGGTAGAGTTTCTAAAGAAATAAGATAATGAGGTAGTTTTATTTTTAAACACCATAACCACAGGAAGGGAATTATTGTTCTATTGTGGAATAGCTGATGATACTTATGACTTAGAATCTGTCATTGTCACTAAAATTTATCTCCTTTGAATTTGAATGTCTTTGAGAAATATAAACATTGCTCGATTCACGTTGTACATTAGAGAATCAACCTGATTAGCTTACAGAAACACCCTCCTAGTGGAAATAGGGAGGCTTGAATCTCGCCTCTGCCTATTCTTAGTGACGTTACTTAAACCAATTCAGTTTCAAATTTCCTATTTTTAAATAATAACTACCTCTTAAATTTTTATAAGGTTTAAACAAGATAATGTTCATGGAGGTGATTATTATCTGTCTGATAAATGCACCATTTGTGGAAAGAAGTGCCTTTTTCCCCTTTGAAAACGTGGGTCACTGGAGTGATCTCTAATGGAATCTTCCGTAGTGTCTGCTGTGCTTCAATCATCAACTGTCAGGAGAGAATGTCCTTCGACCCAGTGACTCCGCACTAGCTCCTTTCAGCTGGATGTCTTACAGTTGGTCAGAATGTTGACCATGCCCTCAGACCTATGCCATCCTGTATGGGGCCGATTCTTAGATCTACCTTGTCCCAGTGCCTTTTTCCCTGAATCTATATCTCTTAATACAAGGCTAGATCTTATAGAAACTTTTTTCCTTTCTCTTCAGTAGTCCTCCCCAACGCTTTACCTCTAAACACGAGTTCCCATCGTGACATTTTTCATCCTTTCACCTGTCTATACATTATTTGTTTTAAAATATGATTGAACCCTCACCATGTGCCAGGCAAACTTCCCTGATTATACCCACTTGGCTGCCTGGAACTCTGCCTGGGCTTCAAAGGATCACTCCTGACGGGTATTCGGCCTCCTGCCAGCTCAGTGGCATCTTGCTCACTGCTTACGTCCCAGCCCCCATCCTGTCCTCCCTCCCATGCCTCTATCTTATCTCTGTGATCTAAACTCCATCACCTTCAACAACCGGGTTTCTCCTGCTGCAAGATGAAAACCAGTTATAGCTATTGCCATCTAACATGTTTGGGGAAATTGGTAAATGCAAAGTCCACAAATTATGGCTTCAGGGAGCATCACAGTCATGCTGTCCGACTAAGCTGAGTGTTTGCTGTCTTGGAGGCAGTCGGTAATGTAGATGAAGAATATTAGTTGTAAGCACTAATGGTAAGGAGATTCTAGAGAGAGCAGAAGGCCTGTGCCACCTTTAATTGTCCCTCACTCGTCATGGTGAGGGACGGTGCTAGAGTACTTATGTTTTACACTTTACAAAACACCTGAAATTTTGTATCCTGAAAACACCTTTAGGACCTCAGTTTTGTTATCTTAATTTAAAGAAGACTAAGTTTAGAAAAGTCGGTTTACCTTCCCCCAAGTTAAATGTCTATAAAAGGCAGATCGGGGAATTAAACACAGGAACAGCTCAAAGCACAGTGTTCTTTCTACAGTGTTGTACTGTTTCTAAGTTGAGAGCAAACACATAAACAAACAGCAGCAAATTTTTGAGGGTCATGTTAAAAGCGTCCCTATATCATTAAAAGATAATGCAATCAGCAAGTAGTTTGAGCCTCTTCAAAGCAGTCACCTTGAAAGACTATAACAGCATTGTCGTAATGCTAGCCTTGCTTAAATCATTCCAAAACTCCTCTTTTGAAATTGCTTTCTGTATTTCTTAGGATATACTTAATAATGACAAAGATTCAGCCTTTAAGAATAGCTTTACCCTAGGAAGCAGCCCAAAGAAATGGTAATATCACTGGGAAAATTTCTCATCTCTCAGTATAACTTTTGAAAGAAAATCTGATCTGGGTATCGACATTCTGCCATATTTTTAAAAATTGCTATTATAATTAAATTAAAAATCATAACTCTGCTGTTGATAAATCCTTCAGTAAATATACATGCTATTATTTTTTCCCTAGAAGATAAACTTACTGATATTAATATAAAATAATTGGCCTCATAAAAAATGAAACTGTCATTATGGATTATCCCATGGTTGCTTTGCTTCCAAAGGCTGCTTTTTATCTGGATGTTCAGCAGGTATACTATAGACAAGCTTTCAATGTGGCAATGGAAGGAATCTTTATTCTTTAATAATAAGAATAACTTGTGAGATAAGAATTTAAAACCAAGAGCCCTGGAAGGTTTCTACTTACAGGTTTGTCAATAACAAATAGGGTGAATTTGAAGAATTTATCTGTGCACTTTGGACCTGACCTTCCTGATCTTCCAAAAGCCTAGATCATGTTAAGATTGCTTCCAGCTGCAACCTTCTATGATCTCAGCCTTATTGTATTTGCACTGACCTGATTCTAAACATTCAAAGGCACATTTTATACCTTCATATACTATCAAACCATCTCAGTTAATAATATCTTATGGAAGAGAATAGGATTAAACATTTCTATAGACTTCTGAGGTGGCCTAGTTAAAGACCCTTTCATACTGTTTGGAGACATCTCAGAGGTCTTTTATTTTTACTTTCAAGGTGCCCAAATCCACACATAGCAGCTCAACTAGATGGAATGTTACATCAGCTAAGACATTATGGCTGTGGTCATTATAGGAAATACTTCTCAGAGGCAGGGGCCACAATGACTGATTTCTTTCTCCAAAATAAAATACTATTTTTCTTTGATTGATTGACTTACCAGAAATATTGTTTCTCAACCTGCTAAGTTCCTCACATATCTTTGTAAAAAAAACAAATAGGGGCAGAGGGACAGGAGAAATAAGCAAATAAATAATTCAAAATGGGAGTAGAAAAATGAATTACAAACAGCCAGTGGATAGCATATGCTGGTGTGGATAGAAGCAACATACCGTTAAGCTCCATTTAAGAAGAGAGAAGGGACTTGGTGCCTGTAGCTCAAATGGCTAGGGCGCCAGCCACATATACCAGAACTGGCGGGTTCGAATCCAGCCTAGGCCTGCAGACAACAATGACAGCTACAACCAAAAAATAGCCACTCGTTGTGGCGGGTGCCTGTAGTCCCAGTTACCTGGAGACTGAGGCAAAAGAATCGCTGAAGCCCTGGAATTGCAGGTTGCTGTAAGCTGTGATGTCATGGTACTCTACCCAGGGTGATAGCTTGAGGCTCTGTCTCAAAAAAAAAAAAAAAAAAAAAAAAAGAAGAGTGAAGGGACACAACTAGCACAAAGGGACAAAAACAGAACCATCAGGCAATCCAAGGGAGAGAAAAAAATAGGGGGGAGTAAACTTTGGAAGAGATGAAGGGAGAATGTTAAAGAGAATGGCAGAGAATAAAAAGAAGGGAGAGTAAGGGCCGAAAACAACCAAAATTGGTAAAATAATTGTCAAAAAAAAAAAAAAAAAAGCCAAGTCCTTGAGGGCGAATACTGTGCTATTCATATTGGTGACTATGTCCTATCCTCTAAAAGCTGGCACTTAGTAGATTTTCAGTAAAATTTTACAAATGGATCAATTATTGAATTAGCATGTGAAATTAAGTAAGAAAGGATAATATAAGCTAAGAGCACCATATGGTGGGAGGGTTTATGGAAGAAAGGTTAGATGTGCTAGGAATGTGTTTATTGGCCAGATGTTCCAAGAAAGGGTATATAGCTCCCACAAACATAGAAAGTGTAGTAAACGGTAACTGCTTGATTGGTTTTTTTCTTTCACCAGACCATGACCAATGCCCATTTTACTGATGCTCAGAAAATTCTGAAAGAAATTCTCATATACATATATACACAAACACCCCACCTGCAATGCCTTTAATATCATAAATTGCTCTAAAAGTTTACTAAACATTTCTACCTTGTTAGTCATTTTTGTATACCTTTCCATAGAAATATACTAGAAGATCCCAGAGCCAGTAGACTTTAGTAAAAGCTGCGGGCTAAGAACGGGACCTTGTGTGAATTTTTAAACCTCTAAAGATAACTTTCAAGAGAAAGCTGTTTACCAGGGGACTCCGATTCCATGACCGCAAGCTGACATTTCTGATGACAACTGTGCTTCCAGAAAGTACATTTTGTTGGCATGATGGTTTATTTCGCTCAAGAACATTGATTTTTGAGATTATTAGGTTGCTACCTGCTCAGAGGTAACATTTTATACTATTGTATTTCTTTTCAGAACCAAACCTGTCTCTTATTATGAACGAGCTCTCTTTTCAGATTGCAACTCAAGATGTAAATGTTCAGAGTCAGAATGGGAACCCATGTGTGGTGAAAATGGAATCACATATGCATCAGCTTGTCTCGCTGGTTGTCAATCCTCCAACAGAAGTGGAAAAAATATTGTAAGAAATCTCCTCCTCTAAAGCATATACACGTGGGCCTGTTCCAATTATGACACCACAGCACTGTGGGGGCTCAGCAGCAGACCACCCCTGGTAGGAGCCCTGGCTCTTACCTTGGCCTTGTATTTTCATGTGGAAACAGGAAATTGATAAGCATTCCTAGTGAAAGTAGACTTTTTGAAAGAATTAGGGTAAGAAATAGAGTCATGAAACAGGGTGAAGGAGATTTTATAATTACGTAGCCTATTTCTCTCATTTTGCTTATAAAGAATATTAACCCTGAATGGAAATGTCCTGGGCATATGGACATATAAAATCTCCCTTGAGAGCCATGTCTCCTGACCTCAACACCAGTAGACCCTGGAAGATTTGGGGGCAGGACAAATAGAGGCCACTGTTGGGAGGTCTAGCTTCCTCCAGATCCAGGGACCAGGGATCTGATTTTGAGGAGGTCCTAGAACTGTGCTGGCTCTGGGACAACTCTGCTTGGGAAATAAACCCGGTTTGTATGATAATGCAAAGAGCTGTGGAGCTGGGATGGAGGACTTCCATAGGCTAGAAGAGGGTGATGAGGCTGAAAATTTAAGTAAAAACCACCTTAGTTAGTCCAGGCTGCTCTAACAAATATACTGTAGACTGCATAGCTTAGAGAACAAACATTTATTTCTCGCAGCTATGGAGACAGGTAGGTCCAGCGTCAGGGTATTAGCAGTGCTGGTGCCTGCCTGGTTTGCTGATGGCCCTCTCCTCCTATCCTCACATGGCAGAGGACCAAGAGGAAGGGAAAGCTGATGGCTGCACCCTCATAACCTAGTTACCTCCCAAATGCTCTACCTCTAATACCATACCATTGGGGTTAGGATTTCAACATATGGATTTGGAACAACATTCAGGCCATAATGGAAACAGATTATGAAGATAAAATCGGCATTTCAGTCATTAACAGACGCCCCCTTTCAAGCGAACATTTGCATTTCTGTCCCAGACATAGGGTCTACATGATACTCGCCCTTCAGACTTCTTTCTATTTATAACTGATGAAATCTGCTATATTGGATAGGCTTGGAGGGCTAAAAATTAGAGCATGCATACATTATTTACATATGCTTATCAACTAAATATGAATGCTTAGGCAAGTATCCGTAGAAATAATGTTTGTTGATTTTCTGTTTATTATGCTATTATGTTGACATTTTATTCAGAACAGAAAAGATAGATGTGTAGCAACAGCAGACACGACTGCCCATCATCTGAAATCTGAGTTTCACCATCCTTCTCTTTTCTTCCTTTTTTCTCTTTTCTTTCTGGTTCTTTCTTCCCTTTTTTTTTCTATTGCCCATAATTGCATGAAGTTTTTTCTTAGCTAGAACTACCATTTTTGAAGACATTACATGCCAGGGGCTAAAGATATGTGCTCTAAAAACAAAATTACCTTTAAATCTCCTGGACCTTAAATAATTAATTAGTATTTTATTTATTTTCCCCATGTAAGAACTGAGGCACTGAGATGTAAGGCTTACCTAACTCATACCTAGTAATTGGTAAGAGTTAAAACTCAATAGTATTCAACCTGACATTTGTAAAAAATTAGATTGCTACTTTTTCGAGAAAAGCAAATGCCAGCTTAATTTTGTTCTTTATCTAAACACTGTCAAACACTGTCACTTTCACTGTGATGAAAACGACAACTCATTTTATATATACATTCATAAATGAATTTTATAGAAATAAACTATTGAGGGGTTGCCTGTCTTTGGTAAAATTTAGTTGATTTGAATGCATTTTTTTAGGATTTAATTTTTAGGATTAAATTAAATTGAATTTAGGATTTAATTTTATTTTTTAAAAAAATTTAATTATTTTTATTCATAACAATATTATTTTTACACTATAAAAAATTTTATCAAATGACAAGGCATATAGTTTTTACCCTCAAAGAGGTTATATTGTAGCGAGAAAAATATATTTTAAAAGCTAATATTTATATGATATCCTTGTAGGGAGTAATATGTCTATGAAAAAAAGTAATATTAGGATAAGAGGATGAAAAGATAGGAGCATTTTTTTTTTTTTTTTGAATGGAGAGTCATGGGAGGTCTTTCTAATGAAATCTCTGAACAGACCTGAAGTGAGGATGTCAGCCATGGAGTTATTTAGGAGAAGAGCTGCCAAGCAGAGAAAAGATCGGGGCCCATGTTTTTACCCATAAGGCATGGGTCAACTTGCCAGGGTTAAGGGGAAGTTTGGCAAGGCCAAATTGGAGAGGCAAAATTGCAAGGGCCAATTGTGTGTGGCTGATGCCCCCGGGAGGGAGGGGGTGGTGATGCAAACTGATAGCCGTTTTTAAAAGTTCATATTGGTTACTGTGAGGCAGGTAGAGTCAAGCTGAATAAGAGTGGAAACAAATTTAACATGAAGAGACCATTGTAATGATCAAGACCAGAAATAATGCTGACTTAGACTGGAAAGTGGTAGTGAAGGAGGAAAGGTAAGGACTTGGGAGGGTTTGCTGGGAGATTGTGCCACAGGATCCATAGTTTGTAGACCAAATATCTGCTGTCTGGATAATAAAATGCATCTCTGTGGAGTTTGCTTTGCTTAATGTACTGTAATCCAAACAAAAGACTATTTCTGCATTGTTCACATAATGTATATCTACTGGACTGCAAAACAGTTTTAAATAGGTATTTATCTTTAATTTTATTTAAACATTACCACAATGATCAGACTTTTTCCTATTGTGTTACAGATATTTTATAACTGCACCTGTGTGGGAACTGCAGCCTCTAAATCAGGAAATTCCTCAGGCATAGTGGGCAGATGTCAAAAAGACAATGAATGTCCCCAAATGTTTCTCTATTTCCTTGTGATTTCCGTCATCACATCCTATACACTATCTCTAGGTGGCATACCCGGATACATATTGCTTCTCAGGTGAGTACCAAGTCTCCTCATCCCAGTTTTGATATGAGACATCTAGAACAGTGGTTTCAAGTTATTTTCTGTAGAGTCGTCATGATTCCTTGCAACTTTCTCAGGGAACCTGTCCCACGCCCTGTTCTCCTTTTATCTGTATTGTACTTAAATGTTTATTCAAAACTTGGCTGAACAAAAGTTTTTGTAATTAAACATGTTTGCAAACGATTAATCTAGAAAACAGTGTTTGTACTTATGTCACTACACTCACTCCATAAATATAGTATGCTACTTCTGGTGCTGGTGATAATATTAACTAGCATAGATACTTTAGACTGAACACAATTTTACCGAATTATAGGAGACACAATTTATAATATACTTTAAAGGCCCATCAAATAATACAGTATTTTACATTTATTATTTTGATACATGGATTATTACTTTTCCTATATATTTTTGCCATGACTGGAATTAATTGTGGGGAATTTCATGGGTTTTGGATCAATTGAGGATCTTAATCCATAAATATCATGTCAATGAATTCAAACATCTTTGCTTATAAAACTGTAAAGGAGTTTTAAAAGCTATGTATCTCCTTACAAATTTACAAGTTGATATGTAAAACCTTTTTTTTTTTTTTTTTTTTTGAGACAGGGTCTCACTCTGTTGCCCAGGCTAGAGTTTCTAGGCATCAACGTAGCTCACAGCAACCTCAAACTTCTGGGTTCAAGTGATCCTCCTGCCTCAGCCTCCTGAGTAGCTATGACTAAAAGCGCCCACCAAGACTCAGTTAATTTTTTCTATTTTTGGTAGAGACAGAATCTTGCTCTTGCTCAGGCTGGTCTCAGACTCCTGAGCTCAAGGGCTTCTCCTGCTTTGGACTCCCAGAGTGCTGTACGCCACAGCACCTGGCCAATTTGTAAAAAATTTTTATCATAAGTGTTTAAATAGTGATGAAGCATTAATTTCCACTATATTACAAATGTTTGCATTTTGAAAATAACAATTTTAAGTATAAGTCACTCTTTCAAATGTAATGAATGGGATCTAAAAAATAATGATTAGATAATAACATCATCTAATTAAAAATCATATGAAAAGATCTTTAATAGTCACAAGTGTTACATATACTCTGTTCTTCTTTTGCTAATATCCTTATTCAAATTCCCTGTAGGCTTTTCATGTATTATAATATAATTTGTGCTTTAGCATTTTTTCTTGATTATCCTATCATACATCTCTGTAAACATTATATGTGAATCAAAAATTTGAAGTATTTTTATGAACAGGATTCTCAATGATAATATTTCCTTCCTCACTGAGTTAGCTTTGCAAGTATCTCTATTATACAATTGATTTAAAATATAACAGAATATAATTTTAATAAAATTATTCAACATGAAAAGTCATAATTTACTAGAAATCCCAGAATCCTGGGAATCCATCTTTTATGAGGATGGATTGAGCAGTTTTCAAATTAATTCATAGATTCAAGGATGAATATTAATTTTTTTCTAGAATAGGACAAGTCAAAAGTATTGTGTACCTTTTTTATTTCCAACACATTGTATTATGGAAATTAATTAGAAAAGATAAAAATAGAATTTACTATCCACAAATCTGCCATTCTCCAAACGACTTAAGAAGAACATGAGATATTTATATTTGCAGATGAGATCATGGATTTGAGAAAATATGAAACCGCTGTCCTAGAGTTTCCAGACCAGTGTGGCTACTCAGCACCTTATACGGTGCCAAGCAGCTACCTGGGCCAAATGAAGAATCAGCTTATTTGCTTAGTGTAGAAAACATGTTCCTTACCACCAGACTCTCAAGTTAACTGTGGTTAATTTTGATGTCAGAAGGACTGTCTTGGTTTGAAGGAGGAACATTGTCATTTTTGCTTCTTTTAAAGGGAAAACTAAATGATATAATATGTAGGAAGTACAGTCCTTACTGGCTTGGCTAACCCTCAACAGTTGTTATATGTCATCATGATTATTACTATTAAAACCCACAGGTTCATCATATTAATGATACCTTATTATTTTAGGTGTTCTTAAACTTTTTTGAGAAATGCAGGTCCCCACTCATTAGCCATAACTTTTAGCATGCTTGATGATATCAACTGTGGTCAATTGAGTCCTCTGCTTCCAGATCAAAGCCACAAAAAACTAGTTATAGTTTATTAATCCTTTGTTATTGCTTCAAATTCTTGTAATTTCTTTATAATTTAAGGGTATATTTTTTCCTGAGTCTTTGCTGTGTTGTTGATGAAACTTGTGATTTCACTTTGCCTACCACCATTTGAATAGGTCATGTACAAATGATTAACCTTGTAGAAATAGTAACTATACACTCTTTGAAGCATTGCATGGAATGGAACATAGCTGTTACACATTAGCTTTTCCTGTGCTAGTACCCTAGGTAAGTTTACCATAGATGATGTTGAATTCTGACATGATATGTTTGGTAAGCAGATTATTATTTAAATTTCAATTTGCTTTAATTAATTATATAATTTGTAACAGTGCTTTTATTGATTTTAGATGCATTAAGCCACAACTGAAGTCTTTTGCTCTGGGTATCTATACCTTAGCCATAAGAGTTCTTGGTAAGTATAATCTAGTTCACGGCAGCCATCTTTATTTTATGGTCTCCATCATAAGTATATTTTGAAGGTGTTTTAAAAAATTTTTGTGGGATTACCATGCATAGGTAAATGATGTAGGTAGTTAAGTCCATAATCTTTTATTTTCTTTCTTCATTTCTTTATTCCCTCCCTCTTTTCCTTGATTCCTCCCTTCCTTTGTTCCAGAATTATTTATTGAGTGTCTGTGAGGAGTCCCAGATATAATAAAGAGCTTTTATGAGAGTAATCACAAGTTTTTAAACAATCTTGCCTCTTCTATTATGCCTATGTTCTCACAAAATCCATTACTCTATGGTAGAGCTCTCAGCAGAAACCAAAAATTATTCATAAGAAAGGGTGAATACTAAATATATATATTTTTCAGTTTTAATAATGGAAAGAATCTGTTGAGCTACTCTCAATGTTCATTACTAAGTTATGTCCTTAGGCAGAATGATACAATCATTCAAATAATTCAAGCAAATGGATTTGAGTCGAGATTTTTAAAAATGTAATTGGAATTGTTTTCGGACTACCACATCTTTTAATATACATTGGTTGAAACCCATAAAAAAACAATGAATCAGGCAAATAAGATTTTGCCCTTAAAGAGTTGATATTCTAAACCAGAAAATAAAATCATTATAAATGATCCTCTGTAGTTTAACCAACAGAAAAAAATCTATCTAGGAAGAAAAACTCAGAGCTTTAAAAATTTGAAATTGAAATTAAATTTAGTTTACAGACATCTTGATATAAAATGGCTACATGTTAAGATATAATATAATTCTGAAAAAATTAGAAAAGAAGTGAAAACTGAGGTGTATGACATCATGGCTGGCTTTAATTCTACAATAGGAAAATAGAGATTATAAAAGTGTCAGATTGGCACCAGCCACATATGCTGAGGCCGGTGGGTTCAAACCCATCTCGGGCCAGCTAAAACAACGACAACTGCAGTAAAAAATAGCTGGGTGTGGGCAGCGCCTGTGGCTCAGTGAGTAGGGCTCTGGCCCCATATACTTAGGGTGGCGAGTTCAAACCCAGCCCTGGCCAAACTGCAACAAAAAAAAATAGCTGAGTGTTGTGGCAGGTGCCTGTGTTCCCAGCTACTCGGGAGGCTGAGGCAAGAGAATTGCCTAAGCCCAAGAGCTAGAGGTTGCTGTGAGCTGTGACACCACAGCACTCTACCAAGGGCAAGAAAGGGAGACTCTGTCTCTAAAAAATAAAATAAAATAAAAGTCAGATTATTGAACTTGAAGAATATCCCTGGCTAGTATTGATCTCTATATTTAATTAGCTTTGGAAATATATACCGTATGTCGATAAAGTTTGTGTGCAATTTTAACCTGCACACTATTTTAAATTGCACTTGAACTTCATGGCCACCCTAGATGTAACTTACAAAGCAAAAGTGGTTTCAACTAAAAGAAATGATTTATAAAATTGATTTGATAAAAATAATATTTGAAATTAGCAAAAATATCATAAGCAAAGTCAAAAAGCATATGAGGAACTGGAAAAACATTTTACAATTTACTACATACAAAGCAGGCAAGTGGTTAATTTCCCTACTGCAAAGAGAAGGCCTAAGCTTTGAGAAAAAAATATAATAGAAAGTCTCTTTGCTCTCCCTCTCTCAACCCACACACATATTTCAAAAGTAAATAGTGGACATCTTGACACTACTCTTCTAAGGCCCTCAGTTTGTATTCTCCTAGAAGCAAGTACATTGTCCTATATAAGGACAATAGTATTCTCACACTCAAAAAAATTAACCTGGGTATGATACTCTACCTAACATATATTCCACAGTCAAATTTCTTTCATTATAATAACAAAATCTTCTAGACAAGTTTTTCCTTTTGATCCAATCAAATATGACAAATTTAATTCTCTTTTTTTGTTTCCAACAATTTCTCATTGTTGGGGGGGGTTGCTTTTTTTGTTTTTAGCAACATTTACTTTTTTCAAAAGACAAAACCAGGTGTTTTGTCGGCTCTCCCACCATTTGGATTATCTGTTTGTTTGCTGTTGAGTATGTTCAGGTAAAATACTCGGGTGAGAATACTGCCCAGGTGAGATTGTGTACTGCCTCGTGAAGCATATTAGGGTGCACATAGCTTCAGTTTGTACATTCAATGGAAATTTTAAGTTTGATGGCTTGGTGAAAGTGGTGTCTACCAGTTTTCTCTATTGCAAAAATCCTTTTGCAACTAATAAGTAATGTATAATAGGATACTTTGAGATAATGATACTTTTACCCAAATTTTAAGCAACCATTAATGATTCTAGATTAAATCAATTATTACATAGGTAATAATAGGTACACTTTTGAATACAAAAATCTATTGAATTATATCCCATTTGTTATAAGAATGAATGAATAATCTCTGAAATTTAGATGCATTATGAGTATTCTCAGATAACTCTAAAAATAGTTTGGTGACAGTACTTTATTAAGTATAAGGATTTTTATGAAAATGCTTTTTCAGTAGAAAGCAATTCTATAATAGAAGGAAAAATCTAAATGTGCATATACAGTAGAACCTCTGTAAGTTGATTATCTAAAGGACTGTAACAAACTGATCAACAGGTGGAGGTAGTCAACATCAGGAACTGTCCAGTCTGTGAAAATTAGGTCAACTTAAGGAGGTGGTGGATGTAGGACATGGTCAACTATGGAGGTTCTACTTACATGGTTGAAACTCAAATGCAAAACAAAAGTCCAGGCAGTTAATGAGTGAAAAGGGCAGAGAAAAAGCTGTACAGCCTGGGAAAGTAAACTCCAAGTGTGTGTAGAGGATAGAAATGGGGGATGGCAGCAGCTGCTGCTTAACCCCAGCCAACCATCACCGTGGATTCCAGATAATGCAGCTGTTAAAAGAATTAGGACATCTGCAATTCTACATGAAACCTTCTGGCTTTTAAATATTAGCTACTAATGAAGAAACAAAAACCCAGACCTATGTAGACTGAATAATAGATGTTAATGGATCACCGATTTAAAATATATAAAATATGAATAGAGATTTGAACAGACTGAAATCTACTTAAAGTACTTTTGTTAAAATCTATATAAGAGAGATACCTTTTCTCCCTAAGGATGGATTAAATTCACAACAAACTTTTATTAAGACTCTACTAAGGTTTATAGCATGAGAAAGAAAGACATACTTCCTGCCCCTGTTTAGCTTACAATGTGGCAGGAAAGGAGACCAAACAAGCCTTTACAGGAGGATAAAAGGTTTTGAAAAGAAGTACAAGTGCTACTAGAATGGAATAAAAGGAATCAATGTAGTTTAGGCCATCAAAATAACCTGTCTTGAAGGAAATTATTCAAACTGAGATTCAAAAAGTGAATGTGTTTTAAGAAGAGATAGGACAGCAGTGTTTGGAATAAGGAAAACTATGATTGTATAAGATATTAGGGGAAGAGGGGAGAACATTTTAAGCACTCAGAGTAATCCAGTAATATTGAAGTCTAAAATGTTAGATGATGAATTTCGTCCCAAACGAGGCAGGAAATGTAGATGGAGCACAAGATCCAATGAGCTACTCTTGCCTTGGAGCAGAAGTCTGGGAAAATCATCTACTTAATTGAGTGATCCAACATCTGTATAATAAACAGATTGGAAAGGTTAGGGAAGGAAGTGACAGAATCAGAAATTGGCTGTTGCTTTAAATTAGGGCAAAAGTAGGGGCCATAAAGAGAAGAGAATGACGCTAAGACATACCTGGGAGGTAGAGTAGGCATGATTTGGGGATAGATTAAATGTCATGATGACCAAAGAGAGGAGAGAGAAAGGGATCAAAGATGACACCCGAGCTTGAAACTTTAGCAATGGGTGGTCATTGATAAAAGGACAGCTCTGGGTAGGAAGACATTAGCTCATGGAAACAGAATTCTGGAGGTACATGAAAACATGGAAGTTATTGGGTAAGTCTGGTGCATGTAAGAAAAACTGGGCTAGAGAGATTGGTTTTGGACATTTCAGCCTTTCATTTCCCAAGTATTGATTAGACTGAAAGTGTTTCTGGATAATCACTCGTAACCAAAAAGACATCCATGTGTTTTTAATAGCAGTTGTTTCTTGTCTCACAGCAGGAATCCCAGCTCCAGTATATTTTGGAGTTTTGATCGACACTTCATGCCTCAAATGGGGATTTAAGAGATGTGGAAGCAGAGGATCCTGCAGGTTATATGATTCGAATGCTTTCAGGTACCAAACCAATTACATTCCCACATCTCACGGCTATAAAGTCGCAGGTTTATACAATGCCCCTGACATAATTTCTCTCGTAGTTTCACTGCTTGTAAGGCAGAGGACAGTCTAATCAAAAAATGGGATCTGTATCACTCAATAATTCTATTTTCCCTTGATTATTTGCCTGGATGTTTGATATTTTTTCCCATTCCTAACCTTGACTCTTATTTTAAGAGAGTTGAAAAATATGATGAAAGGGTTCAGAAGAGAGTAGAATTTTGCACATAAATGGGTAATTCCCTGAAGTTCACAAGCATTTAAATTTAGGTCACATTTTGAGTTTAATTCTATTCTTTTTCAAACTGAGCCAAACTGTACCATTTACGTCAGATCTAATCCCCCTGGGCAAGAGTTGGATTTGGCTCTAAATCTGTCCGGCTTTTATTGCCAAACTGATGTTCAATTATTCCAGTACTTAAAATGCATAAAAGAAAAAGGTTTTCTCTGTGTGGGTGAGTGTGTACAGGGGTGAGGGGCACGGCTTTTTCACTAGAGTGTCATTCACCTCAATTCACCAAACATTTAGTCCCTTATTGCTTAAAGCAATGGTTCAACAGTTTAACAGGAAGAGGATTTTTTTTAAAAAAAACAACTTACAAGCTGAACATTTTCTAGAGAAATAAACTTGGGGCTGGACCATCTAAGTTAGATGCTAATTGGACAGACCATCTCAAATAAGTGTGTTTGGTTTAATAGGCTTTGATGTTGTGTGTGAAACTTATTTTGGTCTTTGAGAGGGACCTGATCTGTGAGTATAATTCAGGCTTTATTCACTTTTTTTTTCATAAGGCCATATTCATTGTAATGTAGAGACAATGTAACTCTAGCCAAGGCTGGGAGTCCATTTTCAAGGTGACTAAAATAAAACATTTAACCCATCCTTCCATCTTTTAACATCTTCAGACAGGGCACAGAACTATGGGAATCTCATGGAAGAAACTGATTCAAGCCTCTGATGTGCTCTTAAATCATTCTGCTTTACTGAGGGCTCCTTTTCCCCTTAGCATTGATTCATGCAGTTTTTTCCATAGGAGTGAGTTAGGGAAGGTCTGAGGATAGAGTAAGCACATAATTTATCATTCAAACCTGGACATTTGAGAGTGAAAGGTGGGACTATTAAAATTACACTGGGCTGACACCGGCATAAATTGGGACTGTTCTGGGAAAATAGGGATATGATCACCTGGTCCAGGAATAATTTACAGAAAGGATGGAAGTGAGTATGTAATTAGTAGCTGGAAAGGGTGGTACACTGAGAAATTGCTTTATATTCGTAAAGTGTCTTCAAGACACAAGTCTACTCTGCTCTTCGTAGACTTACCTATGTTCACAGAAAGGTCTTTCCTAGCCAGCAATTCTGCATTCTTAAAGACAACCATCCGAATGAGATCATTACCTTCCTTGCACATTGTATTTCAAGGTGGGTAGCTGTCGTAATGATGACTCAGATTCTTTCTTCTTCCAGACACATATACCTGGGACTCACGGTGATGTTGGGTATGGTGTCCATTTTCCTAAGCTTTGCGCTACTTTTCCTTTTAAAGAAAAATTATGTTTCAAGACATGGAAACTTCATAACCAAGAGAGACAGAACAATGGTGTCGACAAGATTCCTAAAGGAAAACTGTGCTACGAGTGATCATTTGCTACAACCCAACTACTGGCCAGGCAGGGAAACACAACTTTAGAAAAATGATGACTCGAAGCCAGGGTTTCTAATTGGTGGACATTTCGCCCACAGATCAATTTTAAGGAAGAGCATTCTAAATGTGTAACTTCTTTGTCATTTCAAAAAAATTCTACTTTGTTTTTGACCGTAGGTGTTAGGTAATATACCTGATAATAAATATTATTAAGCATATTACAGAGGATGCAGATGATAAAACTAATTTTAAACCTTTTAATTTATATACAATTTCTTACATGTTTTTCTCCTTTATTTTGCCTTGTGCTCATTGATATGTATCAGCTGTAGTTCTAGTAGAACAATTGTCCCTGTCTGGTTACATTTAAAGTAATCTCTAAACTGAGTTGCTTGTCTAAAATAAGAGAACACTGCGAGGAAATGAAGTCACGCCTCAGACTTCTTCAAGTATCACCTTAATGATGATGTTAGGATGGAGCCAGACCATGGAGAGAAAGATTTCACTTTAAACTCCCCCTTTTCCTTGAAATACCATAATTGATACAGGGATGTGTAGTAGCAAATGATCGTGGGGGTCAGAATTTTGGATTATTAGCTCATCTACTGTTCATTTACATGTGCTTTTCGTGTGATACTGTAAACGACCATGGTTGTAAAGTAATAAAATTAATGTTAACATGCTTTATCAACCTTTTATGAGTTCAGTAGATTAAAGAATATTGTTAAATACAATGCTGCCCATATTTTAATGTATGTAATCTCCTTATTTATATACCTGATGTGTTTCTAAAACATGCTTGAAAGTTGGGTTTTCGAAAGTGTACAATAAATGTAGGTGTTGTAATAGGAATGGAGAGTGACAGATGAATGATGGGAAGGCAGGTGGGGCACCATCACGGGGTCTGGGGACTCATGGGTAGGAAGCTGCCACTATCTTTCACTGCAACTGAAAAGTTCAAGCCAGGTATTTCCTCTTTCCTGGCTCCTTGGCACTCCTCTGAGGAGGGTTCATAGGACCAGCAGTCCACCATCTTTAATAGTCAGCTCTATCATGTGTATTATACTTTTCTTCATCCATCCAGCTGTATAGAGGGGCCTGAGCCTTCCAAGAAAAGCCCACTTAAGACAGAGACCTCCCTAGTAAGGCATCCTTTTCAGCTACCACCATCCAATACTGTCTGTATTCTCTTAGTCCTATACAAACCAGAAAAGATCAGGGAGAAGAAAAAATTGGGTTAGGAAAGAAAGCCTGAAGGGCATTTAGTATGAGTGAGAACACACGAGTCCCTCAAATGCACGAGAGGAGGACCGGCACTTATCAAGAATATTTTCGAGGTCAGAATGGAGACACATAATTCTACTATATATCAGCCACTCTAAAATTGTATTGCGAGGCTGGGCAGGGTGGTTCACACCTACAATCCTAGCACTCTGGGAGGCCAAGGTGGGAGGATCACTTGAGCTCAGGTGTTTTAAGATCAGCATGAGCAAGAGTGAGACTCCATCTCTACTTAAAAAAAAAAAAAAGAAAAATTAGCTAGGTGTTGTGGCGGGTGTCTGTTAGTCCCAGTGACTCAGTAGGCTAAGGCAGGAGGATCACTTGAGCCCAGTAGTTTGAAATTGCTGTGAGATAGGCTGATACAACTGCCCAAGGCAACAAAGTAAGACTCTGTCTCTAAATTAATTCATTAATGAAAATAAAATAAAATACAAAATAAATAAATAAAAATTGTATTATTTAATCTTTAAAGCAGTCTTAGTATCAGAACCCCCATTTTATATATGGTAAAACAGGCTAAGAGAGGTTAGACAAATTGCTTATCCCCGGAGGGGTACAGTCAGGATTAAATACATGTATAAATCTAAAGTTGTCTTTCCAAGCTGACACAATATGACATTGAATAAACACCTTCTATCATTGGTAATGTCTCTGCATCGGTTTATTTCGTTAAATCAGTTTGCAACTTTCATTGTCTTCATCTGTGTATTTCAACGACACATTAATAATCAACAACCATTATAAATCAGAGAATTTATTTAGCCTGTTCTTTTCTTTAAATATCGTTGATTATGGTTTGAAATACTATACACCAAAACATGCTATTTCAACTCATCAGGTAATTGAGGGCAATCCTTTAGAACTGTGGAGACTTGGAGTTGCAACACAGTTCTTAGTAGCCCTTAGAATAAGCAGAACTCATCAGCAGGACAAATCTCACAGGGGAGTCTGTTCAAAGTGTTTTTTGGAGTCTAAGTCCAACAAGCAAGGCCAATTCAAAATTGCAGTAGCCTTACTCAAACAGGGAAGAGATCAAATAAGACAGACAAATGGTTTGCAGTCTTTTAAATGACCCCTTTATATGCCAATCCCATGAGTATGATTGGAAAAAATAGACATGGAAAGTTTGGGAATGGAGAGAAGAGGAAATGTCCATTGCGTCTAACTTTGTCATTGAATTGGTGATGTTCAATTGTTTCATATTTTGCTATTTTTAAAGATGGAAATAGACTTACCTTTGTTTCCAGCAGGCTTACTTCAGACCTGCTGTTGACCCGCTCGCTGTGAGCAGGAGACCTTTGTGTCAATCTTACAAGTGAGTACACTTGTGAACACTTTTCTTTGTAAAGGCATAATTCAAATTCAAATTCTTCACCCTGTCCCCCATGTTCTCTTTCTTTTTCAAAGCTTTATGTCATAATATCTTGAAAAATAATTTCTTTGCAAGTAAAAATCTAAACAGAATCCTTCAGTGACTTGAAAATAAAAAACCAAAAAGGCTGATTAAATGATGGTCTTTTTAATAAAAGGACTGAATGTCATTGAAAAGGAAGCATGTTTTTATGCATAACCTTTAATGTGGTGGTGGGATTATATATGCTAAACTCAGATGTATGGCCTGGGAGGGTATCATTTAGTGTGGAATTGAATTTACTAAGAGGAACCCTGACATTTTCAATAAGTAAACTCAGCTGACACAGCTAAGCAGGCTTTTTATGTCTCATGATTCATTTTTTTAAACAAACAAATCCCCATTTCAGAGGTCAAAAAAATTCCCATGGTCCCAAGGTCGAACATCAGAGGTAACACCTTGATTGATGGGTAGGATCCCACACTTGGGCCTTATTCAGTGGACCAGAGTATACTCTTCTTCTACAACCAGGGCCCCTAGAGGTGACAGCATCTCCAAGGAACTTCTGATTCCTTAGAACCTGCAGACAGGTAAAGCTCCAGCAATGACAGTTTATAGATGGAGTGAATTAAATTGAATTACGTGACTTGCCCAAGGTGGTAGCAGGCAGACGAATGCCAGATTCTTCCATTACATCCTGAATCCTCTGAAGCAGGTAATAAAAACAAACAACCCGAAACCTCTAAAAACTGCTAGAGGAACTTTTGTGACCATTAGCATTTGAGGAATTTCCACTTAAACATCATATACCTATACTGGTATGCAAGAGAAGATTCAAGGAATAAAATGGCCATAACACACATTTGACAATGATTATTTTATCCTTTGTGTAACGACTATTAGTTATAACAACAATTTATATCAGGCACCCTCTGTGTGAGTGCTGAGTGTCATAGAGATTTTCAGTTTCAAAGGTCAAAGTAACCTTATGTGTTAGGTATTATTACTCATATTTTCAGAGGCTTATAGAGTTTTAGTGACTTTTCCAAAGCCAACATATTCTGGCCTTTGGTAGAGCCAAGTTTAAACTGAGTTTGATCAAGTTCAAACAGCCATGTTGTATCTGTACTACCTACATCTTAAATTGTTGGCTTTCAATAACTTTGACAATGTCTTACCTCTAAAATAGAAAAGTTTTAACATACTAAAACATGCACGTGGTTCAAAAAACTAATCAGTGGTAGAAAGCAATTTAGGATGTAAATTGTATTCTTCAGAGGCCATTGCTAACCAATTTGGTTTGTTGCTTTGTTCTTTCTCTTCTTTCCTTTTCTTTTTCTCCCCTCTTCTCCTCCCTCCCTCCCTTCGTTCCTTCCTCCTTTTTCTTTCGGTAGAATCTCCTTATGTTGCTCAGGCTTCCCGGAACTCTTAGGCTCAAGCAATCCTTACCCTCCAAAGTAGCTGGTGCTACAGTTCCACATCACTGTGCCCAGCTTGTTTATTTGGGGGGGGCTTTTGTTTTTTTTGAGGGTTATTTTTATATCTTTAAATATGTGCTCGTATCTCTCTCTTGATTTAACTTTGGGCATCATCTATTGACTCTGATTAGGACTAATGTCACAGCATCCTCTGCTATTGTTCTTCTGTAACCTCTACATAGTTTGAGGTTGCTATTCTGAGTCTCAAATCTCACATCAGTGCCTCCATTTTTGTTTGCCAAACATAAACAGTATGATAGGTTTCTTCATTTTGAAAAAATAAAGAACTTATAACTTCCTCCTTTCCCTCCAGGTCTCCAAATTCTCTTCCCTCTCCCTTTCTGCTAGCTATAGCATTATTTTCACATTGTCAAGAATGATACCATTTTTAGTCAGTTCTAGAATCATACCAGATCTAGGGCAGACCTGAATGGTCATAGCTAAGTTCAATAACATCCGCAGTTAATGCTGTGGAAAAGAATGAGGAAGATGAAACATTTACTGGGAACCTACTATGTCTCGGGCACTAGAGGCACATTAACACATTTAAATAAGTGTGATTTAAAAACTAGTGTCTGAATAATTTTCTAGTATCTAAATAGTTTTCAAAGAGCTGAGTTAATCTCTCACATTCCTCAACATGGGGGTGCTCATTGTTGCTCTACAGAAGATGCATATCTCAAACTTATTTGGGACAGAATACATTTTTCTTTAACAAGGCTTGGAACTAATTTTCAATATTCTATATTTAGAAAATTCAATTGTACCATTTTTTGCCTCCTTTCTCAGTTTCTGGTATCAGGACTATCCAGCTTTATAAAATTAACTAGACAACTGCTTAATTTTCAAAGTTGAGGGATCGTTTTTATAGCATTGGAATTATCTGTTTCTCTTACATTCGAAAGAATGTTCTTAGCCTTTGGGGGAAATAATACTTTGAAAAGCTTTTGATTGGTCATTGTAGGATTTTAAAAAATATCTGCTTACTGATGCAACTTTGAAAATTTGTATTTTGTTTTCCAAAACACTTTCTAGGCAGGTAATTAAAAGACACGTAATTAAAAGACATTTTTAGTTTTATAAATTTAGAGCATCTGTGGGATGGTGCCTGTGGTTCAAGGAGTAGGGCACTGGCCCCATATACCAGAGATGATGGGTT